CTTTGATCACTACACTGGAATATACAACAAGCAGATTAATACAGGTTAGTGAGGTGAATTGCGAGGTTGGAGCACTGTATGAAGCCTACCAGTCCTTCCAATAACCTGTTTATATAAGCTGAGTTGTGCTACAGCTTCGACTGAACTGAAAGATCATTGATTCTATAGCATAGTATTTTGTGTTGGGAATAGGGGAACTTTCAGTCATCTGCATGGTGTTGTGTTCATTTATGACCAGCTAGACATCTGGTGTGCAATCTGGTCACTTTTTTTTCACGCTGGTGTTGTGTGTGGAGTCCTGCTGGTGTGTTGGCGTTGTGTTGAGTAGTGCCGGCACGCTGGTGTTCCCTCAACTTGATCTGGAAGCTACAGGAGGTCTCTCCCACGTATTTCTGGTCACACCCGCGTTGTCTTGATCCCTCCGTTGACTTTTTGCCTGGTCAAATCTTTGATGGTGATAGATATAATAATGGCAACATCTATGTTGCTCTTGGCGAAGATGAGTGTAGTATATCTTGCAGTGTGGCCTGTACGAACAATGACACTGCCGTCCCGAATGACGCATGCAGGAAATTTTAACGTCTGATAGATGTCTTTAAGAACGTTGCAATCTTCCACCAGATATTTAGGACAGCAGATCGTGCCAGCGAGTGCTCCTCGTTTGGCCCTTTCGTCGGTGAGCGAATAGCAGTATATCACGTCATTCTTCTTGGTAAATTTTCGGTATGCTCTGAATATGAGGCGACTGTCTTCGTTAATGAGAAGTACGTTAGGAAAGTAAGGCTATCATTTGCTTCCTCGTCTGGGGTGAACTGGATGAATGGTTCTATACTGTTGACAGTGTTCTTATGGTTGTCTAGGTTCAGTGTTCTTATGGTTGTCTAGGTTCAGTGTTCTTATGGTTGTCTAGGTTCAGTGTTCTTATGGTTGTCTAGGTTCAGTGTTCTTATGGTTGTCTAGGTTCAGTGTTCTTGTGGTTGTCTAGGTTCAGTGTTCTTGTGGTTGTCTAGGTGCAGTGTTCTTGTGGTTGTCTAGGTTCAGTGTTCTTGTGGTTGTCTAGGTTCAGTGTTCTTGTGGTTGTCTAGGTTCAGTGTTCTTGTGGTTGTCTTGGTTCAGTGTTCTTGTGGTTGTCTAGGTTCAGTGTTCTTGTGGTTGTCTAGGTTCAGTGTTCTTATGGTTGTCTAGGTTCAGTGTTCTTGTGGTTGTCTAGGTTCAGTGTTCTTGTGGTTGTCTAGGTTCAGTGTTCTTGTGGTTGTCTAGGTTCAGTGTTCTTGTGGTTGTCTAGGTTCAGTGTTCTTGTGGTTGTCTAGGTTCAGTGTTCTTATGGTTGTCTAGGTTCAGTGTTCTTGTGGTTGTCTTGGTTCAGTGTTCTTGTGGTTGTCTTGGTTGAGTGTTCTGTGGGTCAGTGAGCTGAATATCGTCCACACAGCGAAACCACATGGTCGTTTTGGGTATGATTGAGAACATTTCGTCCTCTAGGGATTCCATATACAGATTCACCAGAACGGCATTGATTGGTCAATCCTTGGCGCTATATTTTTTGTATATAAAAGGAATTTTTAAAAATTAAAGCAACAGCTACAGTAGAACTGTGGACACCGGTCACAAGTACGTTAATTCCCGTGGCACTGGAACGCTCTTTTAATACCTGTCTAAATATAGGTTCTGAAATTACTGTGTTCACCATACCTGTGTAATACAATAATCACCACACCTGTTGTACAGAGACAGTGGTGACTACACCTGTGTAACATGTAGCGTGAGTGTATTAGAGCAGGGAGAGCAGAGTTAGCGTCGGCTGCTGCCTTACAATGGCAGACCTCACCCCACCATGGCTCTGCTTTTGTTTAGTAAACACGAAATATGGGAGGGGCACTCTACCTCACCCACATACCCCTCCACACCCTCTCCACACCAACACATCTCCCTCCACACACCCACACCACCGTCCACACCCACACCTCCCTCCACACACCCACACCAGCCTCCACACCCACTCTTCCCTCCACGCTCCCACTCTTCCCTCCACACTCCCACTCTTACCCCCATTCGTCCCATACCACAGACCTAAATTCCTCCTCCAAGGGCTCATTCTTCCTCATATGTAGGAACCCCGTAAAATATGTTACACTCGCATTACCTGTCTGACCTGTGAGGTAGTAAATAGGTGTGTAGACAGCAGCCACCCAGGAAGGTACCTACCGTCCTCTCAGATGAGTGCGAAATATGAACATGTTAATTTTTTTTTTTCATTTTAGTAGTGGTGATGTTTTCTTAATGTCTCAAGAACACGTAAGAGGACAGGTAACTTATACAAACTTTCGCTTACACTTACAATACACAACCCTTTGCTTTCCTGTGTGCTTCTTAATAGTTCTTAATCCTGTAATATTTCCTTATCAACCCTGGGTCTGGTGTGAGACCGGACACTGGGAAAGTTAATGTCAACACCCAGATAACTTAAGATCATCTCAGGAGAAGGAACAATAAGAAATAGAAAGATCAACATACTGTATGGTGCATGAATTTAGATGAAATACAATTTAATAATTGAAAGTAATATCAGAGGTATCATACAACCGTTTTTCAAAATGGAACGGACTTTTTCGTACATATAGTTCATCGGTTTCTATTTAATCGAGACATCTACAAAAGTATTAATTATTCTACGTTTAGGTTGGGTTAACCTAAATTTACGTATATATACTGCAAGTAACGAAATACTGCTTCTGGTAGCAGCTGATAGTGTCATTCCTTAGAATTACAATGGAAGGTCCACTGTGTCATCAGTTATAGTAGAGAGAGAAGGTAACGAGAAAACACATGGCGGTATCATCATCATCATCATCATCATCATTATATCTTGGTCACCAATATGTGGAGTTTAGTGGAGGTGGGAGGGGACACTCGCTGGTTCCACTCACTGGAGTGGAACAAACTCCGAGGTAGCGTCAGTGACGCGATAACTATGAGTATCTAAATTAGAAGTATTTTTGTATTGATTTTGGGCTATGTGGGTGCCAGTTCTCCACATTTTAACCCTATGTTCCCATGACAGAGGAACTGATCGGTGTCAGTCTCCCTCTGTCTTAAGTAAACGAGCTACGTTATGTGGATTTTGATGGATCTGGATGGGACACTGACGGATGAAACCAACAGCTACATAGTCATGACTTAAGATACCCAGGTACTAGAAGCTGTATTCTATAACCCAAGAGATGTCAAGCCAGTGATATAATACTCAAGTCACTTGTTTTCTCTAGGATGGAATGCTGAAGTACTCTAACAACGCTCTTTTAGGCTGCCGAAATTGTAGATCGGGAAAATGTGGGTAGAACCTTCACTACTTGTGTAAATCCAGTCAAACTCCTAAATTGTTGGAAATGCTTAAAATCCCTTTATCTGCATTCACTGGAACGTAGGCAAAATATACATTATAGTTTACACTGGAAAACTCTAGAGGAATTGGTCACAAATTTACACACACAAATCGCTGTCTAGGAAAACAAGAGGCTTGGCAGACGGTACAAAATCACCCCCCAACGAAAAGCAGGAGTACAGTGAGTACACTGAGAACTCACTAAGCATACATAGACTAAGAATTTTGAACACTCTCTTAATATATTAATATGTAAGGGGGAACACCAACAGATCTTTAGCTGTCTTCAAGGGGGAACTTAATAGGTTCCTCAAATCGATTCCTGATCAGCTTGCTTGTGGTGCATGTGTTGGACTAAGTGCAGCTGGCATCCACAGCCTGGTTGATTATGTCATCCACCAGATTGCCTGGATGATTCTCAAAACCATCTCCAGGTAAACTCAAGTCTGGTGGTCCCTACAGACAAACTGTAGAATGATGGATAAGCTAAAGGTGTCTGACCGTCCACAGGAATAATCAGTAAGACAATTTTCTGTATTCTACAGGATTGGGTACTTACACTCCACCCACGGTCACCTCTCGTCTTACTCTCTTTCCTCCCAGCAGTTTATGGTGCATCTCTGACTTCTTGGATTCTCCGTAGTTTTTAGTCATTGGGATGCCTGTCAGGACTTTGGTGAATTTTTTGTTGAATATTTTAGCATGTGAACCTTGAAATAGACTTTCTTTTACTTATTATAAATGACCATATTTAATGCATTCCTTTATTTAGTGTATGAAATGCATCTGATACATTTTGAATTTGTAGCAATGTTGTAATGAAAGTAAACAAGTATTAGTTGTGCCAAGAGTACCTAATATCCCTTTTCTCAGTTAATTCACCTTATTCCTCTTCCCTGCTGCACTCCACTATTTTTTTTTACCCCCCTGTATTCTTCCCCTCATCATTCCACTATTATAGTCATAGTGTTGATATTATAGTCATAGTGTTGATTACAGTCATACAGTGTTGATATTATAGTCATACAGTGTTGATATTATAGTCATACAGTGTTGATATTATAGTCATACAGTGTTGATATGTTGTGAAGATTTACCGTACAAAACACATCACTGCAGAGAGGTCTTTAATTTGTGAAACGTTTGGCTCAATATTTGTTTGTTGGGTGAAACGCTATACAAACAAAGGACTTCTTCTCAGTTGTACTTTTCACTTTACCTGACGGCAACTTGCCATCGTCTCTAATAAAATACCTTAATTTAACCTATATAGTGTGTTATATTTTTCATGTGTGCTTAGGACATCTTAATGGATACGTTCCTGTCCTGGAACCTTGGCTAAGGTCCCAGGACCGAGGTTTCTCCTCTGAAGATGACCTAAGTACTTGTATCCTCTCGTCCAGAGTGTCAGTATCGTTAGTAGACCTTGTACTTGGTGGTGTACTTAGTGATGGGACGATATCAAAATTTTTACCAAATGCTGAATTTTTTGTACTCTTCTCTTACTTTTATCAGCTTTATTTCCCTGTTTCTGTTATTATCATGAGGGGCATTGATAAAGCTGTAAATTATGCAAGTTAGGATTTGTTCAGCTAAAACTGACAATGATGCTTCTCCGCAGTGGCGGTTGGTCCTGGACTTTTTGCCGTAGGCAGCAGTGCCAACAACACCTACACCTCGTCTGCCACCACAACTACCACCGCTACCACCATCACTTCCCCCAGCAGCACCACCTCCCCCACCTCCCCGGCCTCCTCCATTAGCACCTCCACCAGCATGTCGTCAGTGGCCCCCGTGAGAGGACAGAGAAAGAGGGGTCGCCCCAAGGGCTCGGGGCTGCGGGGGCGTCTCTCCAGAGCCAGTGAGGCCGCAGCCGCAGCTTCCTCAATGGGATCCATGGTGTCTTCCGCATGCGGCTCTCCGGGTAAGTGGCAGTGTCACAAAGTATTATAATGCTTTAAGAAGTTATAGACTATGACTCTTGTCATCAACACAGCATCAAACTACAGTGGAACTGAAGTGCGCAAAAATTTAAATACTTTTTCTAAACAAGGAATCACGGCAGAAAGAAATGATTTAAATTCACTTAAATAACAATAAAAGAAAAATAATAAAAAACAGTGTATCGAAATTTGTACTTAATCTATTCAAGAGTTTATAGAAGGAATGTATGTTGATGGCCCGGCTGCTACAAGAGCACCAGTCAGTGCCAAGACAGACCTCGTCTTTTGTGGTTAGTTTATATTTAGTTAAAAAAAATAACTTAAACTTATACATGTAGCCATGTTGCAAGCTGTGTAAAACTAGCATTTGTATTACACAAATAACCCGCGCATAGGAGAGAGGAGCTTACGACGACGTTTCGGTCCGATTTAGCCCATTTACAAAGTGTGCAAGTTATTTGTGTATTGTTCCAGTCACGGTATTGTGCTTTTTTTTTGTTCTTCCTAGTATGTACATTTACCAGACCTTAAGAGTATCTAAAAAGAAACGACTATAGCATTCATCCACCAGTTTCAAGACGAAACTCAACGAGTGCCAGAGCTAAGTGCCGGATCAACCATACTGTGATGGATATGTGGGCCAGCAGGCCGCCAGTACCAATAGCCTGGTTGACCAGGCAAGCACCAGACAAGCCTGACCCAGCGCCAGGCTGCGATAATAGGAAAGCTCTCGTAACCCTTCAAGGATAGTTTGCCTACCTTAAATACACGCTATGTCAACCCTTCCCCACTTGACAAGCTCCTTGAAGAATTAAGATATGCTTAGCGGTTACGTAATTAAGATATGCTTAGCGGTTACGTAATTAAGATATACTTAGCGGTTACGCAATTAAGATATGCTTAGCGGTTACGTAATTACCTGCAAATAAGATAAAACGAGGCAGACATTTCACACATGCTGTCGTACTTAGGTAAGGTTAGAAATATGTTGGAATGCAATACAGTCACTTCTCAGCGAGGTACTACCCTCCTGTCATGAGTGTGGTGTAGACAGCAGCCACCAGGGAGGTACTACCCTCCTGTCATGAATGTGATGTAGACAGCAGCCATCAGGGAGGTACTACCCTCCTGTCATGAATGTGATGTAGACAGCAGCCATCAGGGAGGTACTACCCTCCTGTCATGAGTGTGGTGTAGACAGCAGCCACCAGGGAGGTACTACCCTCCTGTCATGAATGTGATGTAGACAGCAGCCATCAGGGAGGTACTACCCTCCTGTCATGAATGTGATGTAGACAGCAGCCATCAGGGAGGTACTACCCTCCTGTCATGAATGTGATGTAGACAGCAGCCATCAGGGAGGTACTACCCTCCTGTCATGAATGTGATGTAGACAGCAGCCATCAGGGAGGTACTACCCTCCTGTCATGAATGTGATGTAGACAGCAGCCACCAGGGAGGTACTACCCTCCTGTCATGAGTGTGATGTAGACAGGAGCCATCAGGGAGGTACTACCCTCCTGTCATGAGTGTGGTGTAGACAGCAGCCATCAGGGAGGTACTACCCTCCTGTCATAAGTGTGGTGTAGACAGCAGCCATCAGGGAGGCACTACCCTCCTGTCATGAGTGTGATGTAGACAGCAGCCATCAGGGAGGTACTACCCTCCTGTCATGAGTGTGATGTAGACAGCAGCCATCAGGGAGGTACTACCCCCCTGTCATGAATGTGGTGTAGACAGCAGCCATCAGGGAGGTACTACCCTCCTGTCATGAGTGTGATGTAGACAGCAGCCATCAGGGAGGTACTACCCCCCTGTCATGAATGTAATGTAGACAGCCATCAGGGAGGTACTACCCCCCTGTCATGAATGTGATGTAGACAGCAGCCATCAGGGAGGTACTACCCTCCTGTCATGAGTGTGATGTAGACAGCAGCCATCAGGGAGGTACTACCCCCCTGTCATGAGTGTGGTGTAGACAGCAGCCACCAGGGAGGTACTACCCCCCTGTCATGAGTGTGATGTAGACAGCAGCCACCAGGGAGGTACTACCCCCCTGTCATGAGTGTGGTGTAGACAGCAGCCATCAGGGAGGTACTACCCCCCTGTCATGAGTGTGGTGTAGACAGCAGCCATCAGGGAGGTACTACCCCCCTGTCATGAGTGTGGTGTAGACAGCAGCCACCAGGGAGGTACTACCCCCCTGTCATGAGTGTGATGTAGACAGCAGCCACCAGGGAGGTACTACCCCCCTGTCATGAATGTGGTGTAGACAGCAGCCATCAGGGAGGTACTACCCTCCTGTCATGAATGTGGTGTAGACAGCAGCCATCAGGGAGGTACTACCCTCCTGTCATGAGTGTGGTGTAGACAGCAGCCATCAGGGAGGTACTACCCTCCTGTCATGAGTGTGGTGTAGACAGCAGCCATCAGGGAGGTACTACCCTCCTGTCATGAATGTGGTGTAGACAGCAGCCATCAGGGAGGTACTACCCTCCTGTCATGAATGTGGTGTAGACAGCAGCCATCAGGGAGGTACTACCCTCCTGTCATGAATGTGGTGTAGACAGCAGCCATCAGCGAGGTACTACCCTCCTGTCATGAATGTGGTGTAGACAGCAGCCATCAGGGAGGTACTACCCTCCTGTCATGAATGTGGTGTAGACAGCAGCCATCAGGGAGGTACTACCCTCCTATCATGAGTGTGGCGTAGACAGCAGCCATCAGGGAGGTACTACCCTCCTGTCATGAATGTGGTGTAGACAGCAGCCATCAGGGAGGTACTACCCTCCTGTCATGAGTGTGGCGTAGACAGCAGCCACCAGCAAGGTACTACCCACGTGTCATGAGTGTGGCGTAGACAGCAGCCACCAGCGAGGTACTACCCACGTGTCATGAATGTGGTGTAGACAGCAGCCATCAGGGAGGTACTACATTCCTGTCATGAGTGTGGCGTAGACAGCAGCCACCAGCAAGGTACTACCCACGTGTCATGAGTGTGGCGTAGACAGCAGCCACCAGCGAGGTACTACCCACGTGTCATGAATGTGGTGTAGACAGCAGCCATCAGGGAGGTACTACCCTCCTGTTATGAGTGTGATGTAGACAGCAGCCACCAGCGAGGTACTACCCACGTGTCATGAATGTGGTGTAGACAGCAGCCATCAGGGAGGTACTACCCACGTGTCATGAATGTGGTGTAGACAGCAGCCATCAGGGAGGTACTACCCACGTGTCATGAATGTGGTGTAGACAGCAGCCATCAGGGAGGTACTACCCTCCTGCCATGAGTGTGGTGTAGACAGCAGCCATCAGGGAGGTACTACCCACGTGTCATGAGTGTAGTGTAGACAGCAGCCATCAGGGAGGTACTACCCACGTGTCATGAATGTGGTGTAGACAGCAGCCATCAGGGAGGTACTACCCTCCTGTCATGAGTGTGATGTAGACAGCAGCCATCAGGGAGGTACTACCCTCCTGTCATAAGTGTGATGTAGACAGCAGCCATCAGGGAGGTACTACCCTCCTGTCATGAGTGTGATGTAGACAGCAGCCATCAGGGAGGTACTACCCTCCTGTCATGAGTGTGATGTAGACAGCAGCCATCAGGGAGGTACTACCCTCCTGTCATGAGTGTGGTGTAGACAGCAGCCATCAGGGAGGTACTACCCCCCTGTCATGAGTGTGGTGTAGACAGCAGCCATCAGGGAGGTACTACCCTCCTGTCATGAGTGTGGTGTAGACAGCAGCCATCAGGGAGGTACTACCCTCCTGTCATGAGTGTGGTGTAGACAGCAGCCATCAGGGAGGTACTACCCTCCTGTCATGAGTGTGGTGTAGACAGCAGCCATCAGGGAGGTACTACCCTCCTGTCATGAGTGTGGTGTAGACAGCAGCCATCAGGGAGGTACTACCCTCCTGCCATGAGTGTGGTGTAGACAGCAGCCATCAGGGAGGTACTACCCACGTGTCATGAGTGTGGTGTAGACAGCAACCATCAGGGAGGTACTACCCACGTGTCATGAATGTGGTGTAGACAGCAGCCATCAGGGAGGTACTACCCTCCTGTCATGAGTGTGATGTAGACAGCAGCCATCAGGGAGGTACTACCCTCCTGTCATGAGTGTGATGTAGACAGCAGCCATCAGGGAGGTACTACCCTCCTGTCATGAGTGTGATGTAGACAGCAGCCATCAGGGAGGTACTACCCTCCTGTCATGAGTGTGGTGTAGACAGCAGCCATCAGGGAGGTACTACCCTCCTGTCATGAGTGTGGTGTAGACAGCAGCCATCAGGGAGGTACTACCCTCCTGTCATGAGTGTGGTGTAGACAGCAGCCATCAGGGAGGTACTACCCTCCTGTCATGAGTATGGTGTAGACAGCAGCCATCAGGGAGGTACTACCCTCCTGTCATGAGTGTGGTGTAGACAGCAGCCATCAGGGAGGTACTACCCTCCTGTCATGAGTGTGATGTAGACAGCAGCCATCAGGGAGGTACTACCCTCCTGTCATGAGTGTGATGTAGACAGCAGCCATCAGGGAGGTACTACCCTCCTGTCATGAGTGTGATGTAGACAGCAGCCATCAGGGGTACTACCCTCCTGTCATGAGTGTGATGTAGACAGCAGCCATCAGGGAGGTACTACCCTCCTGTCATGAGTGTGGTGTAGACAGCAGCCATCAGGGAGGTACTACCCTCCTGTCATGAGTGTGGTGTAGACAGCAGCCATCAGGGAGGTACTACCCTCCTGTCATGAGTGTGGTGTAGACAGCAGCCATCAGGGAGGTACTACCCTCCTGTCATGAGTATGGTGTAGACAGCAGCCATCAGGGAGGTACTACCCTCCTGTCATGAGTGTGGTGTAGACAGCAGCCATCAGGGAGGTACTACCCTCCTGTCATGAGTGTGATGTAGACAGCAGCCATCAGGGAGGTACTACCCTCCTGTCATGAGTGTGATGTAGACAGCAGCCATCAGGG